TCCTTCTGCATTTGTATTGTTCTTTCATAACATTCTGAGCATAAATATGACATTCCTTGTTCCAGTGTCTCTGACAAACATGCACTTTTCCTGTCCTATTTCCAGTCTGATTCTGCTGCATACTCTATGCACCAGAGTTCGGATGAAATGCTTTGTTAGCTGGCTCATTAACCTGATTGAAGTTCACATTTATTTCCACCTGACTCTTTAGGAAGTGCTATGAAAATAGATCTAATAAGTCTTCCAGTTTTTATTTCACTAAAGATATTTACATTGGAACAGTCTATCCCCGTAGAGTAAATAAAGGGTACATTTCAAAATTCCCTGTAGGTTACTGTTGTGACCTTGTTAGGGCCAGAAATAAAGACACAAAGAGAGGAATTAAGTTAAATCAATTTATTAAAAGAAACGGTAATGCAAACATATACAAATGAGAGTATTACAGCAAGAATGTTTGGTCCGACTGTCAGAGCTGACTGCTAGAAACTTCTCTCTCCAAAAAGCAGTACCTGTTCCTATTTATAGATGAGAGAGTCCATGTGTGCATGGATAAATTCCCATAATAGTTACCCAGACCGATATACACTTGGGAAAGGGTGGAGAACACACCAACCAAAACATTGCAATAATGACAACAAGGACAAAGACAATAGTGCAAATATAAATAGTGTAAATAATGATAACTCCTATTCTCAGTAATTCAGAGAGAAATTGAAAAAAATTTTTGTAAAAAAAAAACAAAAAAAATATATATCTTAGCCGATGTGCTTTGTCCTCTGATGGTCTTTATCAAGGCATGTGTGTGTTTATATATATATATATATATATATATATATATATATATATACACTGCGTGCCAAATTATTATCGAGATAACTTTTTTCTAATATTTCAAAAACCGTCCAATCAATTCACACAAAATTTTCAAACAATGTTGGCAACACTGACCTGCGCAATCACTGAAATTTTTGTACTGATCTGCACAATGTAAACAAACTGGTGCCATAATTGTTACCAGCACAGTGATTTGAGCGTGCCAAATTATTAGAAAGTTGTAGTAAAATTCCCAGAATTGAGCAAACAAAACCTTTATTAATGTTGAACGTGAATGTTTATGATCAAAAGAAGCTAATAAATAAGATAATCAAACAAATAATAACAGATACAAAGAAAGGCACAGTTTTAAACAAATTATTAGGGAATGTGCTTTCCCTGTTTTGAAATTACTTGAAAAAGTCGACGATCCATAGAATTTGTTAATTGTAGGATGTCATCTGCTGTAATGCCGCGAGATATGTCAAGAATTGCTTCCCACAACTCAGCGTTGCTCCTGAATTGTCGTCCGTTGGCGTACAGTCTTTGCTTCATGATGCTCCAAAGGTTTTTGATTGGGTTCAAATCCGGAGAATTTGCTGGCTATTTCATTTTTCGAGGTCCATCGAAGCCTAACTGTTTCAAATATTCAGTAGTCTTGGGAGCAGTGTGTGAGGGAGCATTATCTTGCATAAAAAACAATGGCCCTTCTGAAGGCAACTTTTTGCCTTTTCATCCACGGTTCAAGATGCTCCTTCATAAACGCTATTTATGCATCAGTAGTCATTTTGATGCCATCTGGTACTCTCCATGGGCCCACTAATGTTTTTCCGGTAATACCACCCCAGATCATTATGCCTCCGGCACCTTGTTGGCGTTTCATCACTGATGGCGATTCTGTCCGTTCATTACCCAGACTTTGCACCATCTATCTGGCCCATCAAGTGTTGCTCGAGTTTCGTCTGTGAACAAAACTTTAGAGAAGTCAATCTTCATACTGTCCTCGGCCCATTTCAATCGATTTTGAATGATTTCTCGTCAAAGGAGACTTCGATACAGGTTTGACTGTTGTTACTATTTCCCACAGATACTGACACCGAGTACTTTTAGACACAGTAGGATCCCCAATACGACTGAAAAGCTCTTGACTGGTAAGTCCAGGGTTGTTCGTGGCCTCTCGTTTAAGTCGTGACATGAAACGACCTGAAATAACTCTCGGCCATCTTTTATATGCCCATTTGCGTACCTGTGTAGGGTCGGCGGTGAATTTTTCACTGTTTGATGATACTTCCCTATCATTTTAGAAATTTCTAGGGTAGATTTACCTTTTGAGAGTTCTGAAGTAATAGTTTTCTTTTCAGCATCACTTAAACTGCTTTTACGGCCCATCTTTTCACTAAATTCTTATACGTTTCTAATAATTTGGCATGCTCAAATCACCGTGCTGATAACAAATATGGCGCCAGTTTGTTTACATTGCATAGATCAGTACGAAAATTTCAGTGATTGCGCAGGTTAGTGTTGCCAACATCGTTGCCAATTTTGTGTGAATTGATTGGACGGTTTTTGAAATATTAGAAAAAGTTATCTCGATAATAATTTGGCACGCAGTGTGTGTGTGTATATATATATATATATATATATATATATATATATATATATATATAGTAATTTATCATCGCTTGAACTGGCTTCTAATGCTCCAGTTAATAGCGGCTTGGTGAGAGTAGTCATGGCTCCAGGAGGCACAGTCCTATGGTTACAGAGAACTCAGTTGAGTTCCACCACGGAATATGTAAGCAAGCGGCGCTATGTTGAGTCTGATTTGCAATCTCTTCGTCACCGAGGCCCGTTGGAACAGTTTGTATGATGTTCGCGTGACAACCTAACTGTCAGGGTTTCAATTCTCGGTAGTGGATGCGCACTGCTGATGAGTTCCAAATATAGAACGAAACGGCCGTCCAGTGCTTTCAGCATTTTGTTGAGTTTTCTATCAGACTCGATGAATTAATATATGTATACAATTACAATATAAAAAAATCAATAAAATTTACGCACTTTCATCTGTTAGACATTAAATTACATCACTTAGCATCTTCCGTAGTTTATCTTTGCTTTCAGTTAGCTTGAAGTATATTTACCTAGTTCCAAAGTAAATAAATGCTTTTTTTTATAATAATGTTCACCCAATACAAAGCCCAAAAGCCACTCAAGGTAGAGGGTGATTGTTTGGTGTTGTATGAATATAAGTAGAGTAAAGAAATTCAGTTCATTAGGTTATACAGGAAAGATAGCGGTTAACTCTATCCTTGAAAAGTTTAAGATTGTATTGATGAGGTAAAAATTCCATAAAGTAGCTGTTCTTGAGAAGGATCTGTCCAAGTCTAACTTACTTACTAAGTTAGGATCAAGATCAAATTATCTTATTTAACCTTTAAACAAAACAATAAATAGATCTATCCAAGTACTTTAAAATAGGATATAATTTAGCTTTGTAGGTGAAAAAACAACTGAGATATTGATATGTAAACATTGTGACTATTTTCCAAAATTTAACTTTTTGGCAAAGGTCAAAGGGTCATATGTTGGAAACCATTTAACCTAGTAATGTAAAATAGATACCATTTCAATACCAAATTTGCATAAAATCTATGTCGGTGATAGTCAGACCCTTGTTGATTAGGCATAGAATGACTCCCTCTCATCATTCAATTACATACACACCTCTCTCTCTCTCTCTATATATATATATATATATATATATATTTTATATATAAAAAAATAATCATTCATATATGTTTAAAATATATTCTGCCTAATATTATATATATATATATATATATATATATATATATATATAAAAAAAGAAAGAACAGTAAGATATATTAATCCGTGTTCTTATAGATATTTTTATTTTTGCAAAATAGTGCTCAATGTAAATTTACAGAGCATTAATATTATAAATTAATTGATTTAAAATATGGTTTTTCCGCTACACAGTTCTGACCATGTTTAAAAAATGGAAGGTCTGAATTTAATTTTGTAATTAAATTAAAGACATTAGTTCCATTTCATCCAAAATTAAATTAAAGACATTAGTTCCATTTCATCCAAAATTCGCTTGAGGATGAAATGGAACTAATGTCTTTAATTTAATTAAAAAATTAAATTCGGACCTTCTATTTTTGAAACATGGTTAGAACTGTGTAGCGGAAAAAACATATTTTAAATCAATTAATTTATAATATATATATATATATATATATATATATATATATATATATATATATATATATATATATATGCACTATCTCTCCCAGAAACCATAACCAATGTCTTCTCTGCATAGTTGCAGTATAAACCAGTGATATGCACTGTGGGTATTCAATGAACACAAATGTGCCTAAGCAGGTGTGCTTGAAAAACAAGAGAAGCTGGCCATGATATATACATATATATGCACCCACAGTGCATATCAGTGGTTTATAATGCAACTATGCAGAGCAGACCTTGGTTATAGTTTCTGGGAGAGAGAGTGCATAATCTGTCATGATGAGCAGTTTAAACAATTCCAGTAGGCTCACATCCTTGGTTACAATAACTTGTGACTTTGTGCTAGTACCACCATATACAACTATAGATACTACATGCATTTCAAATTGGTTCACCAAAACAGGAACTACTTATGACTAAACCTAATATTTACCTATCTTCATATCAAGTAAATATTTATAGACTCAAATATAAATGACCAATATTTACCTATTCCCAAACCAAGTAAATGCTTATAGACTTAAATATAAATGATCAGTATTTATCTATTCCCAAATCAAGTACATACTTTTGACCTTTGCCCCAAACCAAGTAGATGCTTATAGCTTTGTGACGAATGATGAGACCAAAAGATAGTACCTTTGAGTGATTAAGGTTTTATTCAACTCAAAAAGACACACAAAGTGTAAACAAAGATGGCGATTTTAGAACTCTTCTATGAAGGGAGAATAATCCTTTAATAAGGGCAGATAACTATAATAACAATAATATTATTTTAGCACAAGCCTCAGATATAAATGCAATACATTGACCAGTTAAGGTATAAGTCAATTATTTTCATGCCAGTACTTATAGCCTCAGATATAGTAAATAAATAACTGATTTTAAAATTAAATGATCTACCAAGTTTTGATATGTCATTCAAACAATCTTTGTATAGGTAAGAATAAACGGTAAATCATTATGGAGCTGGATCAGTATTCAGACTTACAACCAAGCCTTGAGGAGGTGTATCAAGCTCAGGAAAACATTAGAGGAATTGCACTTCGCACTCCATTGGTACCTCTTAATATTATCTGGCCAAATGGACAAGTAAGTAAAATGTTATCAAAAAAATTTTCACCTTTTTCTCTCTGGTTTTTATTATTATATGCCTTACTCCTCAGATCAGCATGCATGTTTGTATTGTTTTAATTTTATCACCTGGTTCGCACTTCTCTCTGGTCTTTTGATCAATAGTAGAGGTTTGTTTCCTGTTTAGGATTGGGTTTCCAGTTCCTTCTAAAGTCTACTTCACCTCTATATACCTAAACATCTCCACCTGAACACTGAAATTTTATTCGCTAATTAAATCTTGACCTCTTAAGTCTAGAATTATCTATCTTTTCTGTTATCTTGCCCTTTCTTACAGTAATGCAACTCCACACAGTAACCTGAGAGTGAAAAAAAAATGAGAAGACTTTAATGAGAAGAAAGGACAATAAAAAGGATTCAGGAAAGCAGAAAACGGTGATTGATATTGTATTTAAATTTTTGAAAATTATAAGGAGTTGATATGCTGTTAAACAAACCAAATCAAACCAAACCATGGCAGTCTAGCATGAAATATTAAAAATTGTTTCCAATACCAGAACCTAAGTCGTCAGTCTGGTACTGCATAAATTTTTTTTCTCTATCTTAGACTCTACAGCAAGAATATTTGAACGTTATTATAGCACTATATAATAATGATTCCAAGGGGAAAAACTGGCCTTTTACAGACTATTAATGGGAGGATACCAGAATTTTTACTGTTTCTGAAACAATTTCCAATCAGTTATGTGCTATGCAGGATACACACTTAGGTGATCATGTATCTTTCAATACATGACTGACGAGGCAGATTTTTCCTGCAGTAGGTTGCCATTTCTTTCTGCCTTAGACCAGTTGCCATCCAAGGCTATAGGACCCTGCCTGCCCTACTATTTACCCATAGCTGGTGGGTAGGAGAAGAGGATTAATACCTTTCCCAAGAGTATTAGCATGTAAGTGCATGTAATGGATTTGACTGGAATTCAAACCTGGCTCTCCAATTCCTCAATCCAAGCTGCTATCCATTACTCTACCATGCCTCCGAATACTGTTCTAAATTTTCAGTTCTGATACAATTCCCAATTCTGATACCTACAATGATTAAAATTCTTTATTTTCAGGCCCTACAGCTGGTTTGGGAAAATTAATGAACAAAGTACATTTATTAATATAACATTTAGTAGAAAAATGAATACAAAATACTTTATGAAATAAAGTTAGATATCCTTTTTATTTAAAAAAATATGGGTAAGAGTTTAAATAATAAAGAGAACAATTTCTGTACATAAACTACCTAGCTGTAGTTGACATATTGCTTTATTTTGGTTATCATCAGAAATCTTTAAAAAACTTCTAAGCAACACTTTTCTGCCAGGCATAATTGGTGTCTGAAAATAAACATCGGTTAAAATTTAAATTTTTCATTGTTAGATAAAAATGTCTGTAGTTTTCTAATGTGTATAATTTGTATAGATTCAACTAATGGTTTGCTATTAATTGTAAAATAAAAAAGGATCTCATTTTTTGTCCACTTTATATATTTTAAGATTTAACAAGCAAAGGCACCCTCTAAATATTATGCAATCCCCTTAAAATTTTATTTGTGGCATTGTTCAATGAATTGAATAAGTTTTGGGTTGACAATTCAATTTCAGCATGCACTTCAAAAATAAGAGACACCCTAATATATATACATATATGTGATATTGCAATAATAACACTCTAAACAGAAAGGCATCATCCTATGTATTGTGGTTTAAGTTATGCATATATTTTGATAAAGTACAAGGAGTACCTAATTCTGCAGGACCATGAATAAAAAATAAATGTAAATTTTAAATATTCTTACAGATGTTTAATAAGAATTAAATATGAATTATTGCAGCAACTTAATAAATAAATAATAAAGGCTCTTAAATCTTATGTAAAAAAAATTAATTTAATTACTAATATTAAGTTTTACTGTCTAAAATAAATTTCTCACAACTAAACAATTTAATAATTTCTAAAAAGAATCAAAAAGTGCTTTATTTTTGTTAAAAAAAAAAGACTAAATGTGCAACAACATTGTAAAGAAAGACATATCCCTTGATTTTTTTTAAAGAGATATAAGCAATAAATTTTTTTTAAATATTAGAAAGTTGAAAGCTAAATAATGCTGATATCCAACTTGATCATTTTATAAGTTATGAGATTCAAGTTCAACTGTTACAAAACATTCAAATAAAAATAAGATTAAAATCTTCATAAGAATGAGAACAACTTTTAAATGTGTATTTTTGCATTGATTTTTTTTCAGTTATATATTATATTAATAGATTAAATTTTACTCATTTTATTTAAAAAAATATTAAAACAAATCCATGTTAAAAGTGGAAAAAATGATAGCAGATGAAAATGGGATAAAAATACTCGTTTTTAACTTTTTTTTTTATACATTTCTACTAATAAAACTTACATCTCATTTGGCTCTGAGGAGGAATAAATGTAAAAAAAAGTTCAAAATATTTTAAATGCCATGATAATTTAAAACAGTTCAATTGTGCCAAAGAAAAATATTAGTAAAAAAATAAAGTTAAATAAAGCTTTTGATGAGAAATTAAATTTTAGGTTTTTTAATAAACTATTGTGTGAAAAAGCTTTTTTTCAGGAAACTTCAAATAAAAGTTTGTTTATTTTCTTAAAGATGAAAATCCATTTCAAAAGCTATGAAATTTTAACAAATACTTGAATTTCATAGAAACAAATTTAATTTTCATAAAAAGAATGTTTAATTTTTTAAGTCTCGGTTATTGAAAAGAATTATTATTTTTGATTATGTAGTATGCTACGTAAACAAAAATAAATCTTTTCAATAACCGAGACTAAAAACGATTTTATAGATTAAAACTATTATAAAAACAAACTATTATAATTTAACTCACTCACTCCAAGGCCAATTTGGTACAGAAGGTCAGTTTTTTTTATGCGAAGAAATCAAATGTCACATTGGCAGGAATTTCATACATTTATTTTTATTTTTTTATAAATCTGCTATTAAGGCCAGACTACCTGAATTGTCTATTAAAAAAAAAAAATAATAAAAATTGTCTTAAAAGAGAGCCTGGCAGAACAACATGAATTCATTTTGTGTTTATATTACATAATTATAATTATAATTATTAAATTAATAATTCATATTATTAAATGGGTGAATTAACAATATTTAAAAAGAAATTAAAATTAAAAATTTTATTTTGAAATAAAACAGATTTTAAACTAGCGGGCTTTATGGAAAGTTCAAGAACTGAATAAAAACATACACATTTCATTTTTTTTTTTTATAATAGTAAAATAAATTTAGGTGTTATTATGATCTATAGATTTCAGTTTTACTGATAGTTTAAAATCAATAAATGTTTATCTTTCTATCATTAGTACCAGAAATGAAAAATTAAGTTTTAAACACAAAAAAATTCCAAAGAATAATTAAGTTCAAAATTCTCTGATGCCGATTTCAGTATCACAAAAGTTGAGATATTTCTGATTCTTGATTTTGATTAATTGTCCCATCACTACTTTAGACATAGTGTTTCTTTTCACAGGCACAAAGGTTACAATTTGCCAAATCACTGTTGTATGAACATGAAATGTATTCTTTTTTTTTCTATCTGTCTATATTTCTGAGATGAGATATTATAACTATTTACATTGTTAGAACTGTTGTCTCCATCTTTATTACCATATTCACCTTTAAAATCTGTCATTTTGGTTATTGTACACTCCAGCCTGCGTCAGATGATTGGAATTTTGAACCCTTTAGCAACTGTTTAGGAATTGTAACTATTTACATTATTTAGCATTGTTGAAACTGTTGTCCTCATCTTTATTGCTATATTCACATTGTTTCGGTTGTTGTATGCTCCAGCCTTCTTCAGGATTTGTCTATATTTCTGAGATGAGGTATTGTAATTATTTACATTCTTTACATTGTTCAGACTGTTATCCTCATCTTTGTTGCCATATTCACAGTGTTTTGGTCATTGTATGCTCCAGCCTTCTTCAGGTGGTTGGAATTTTGAACTGAATCCTTTATTTTGTCCATTGGAATAGATTGTTCTAGTTCCACTTACCATGCCTCTTCCAGATATCTCAGTATCAGTTATTTCCCTTTAATTCCTCAAGCACACATGGTCTAGTGGCATTTATTGAAGTAATCCAGTGATTGACCCAAAGAGTTGTGAGTTCAATACCTTGTTACAGCAGAGATTAACAAAAATCATTTTTTTCTGTTTTTAGATTTATTTGAAACTTGAAAATCTTCACCCTGTTGGCTGCTTCAAGTTCCGCAATGCATGCAATATCTTTCAGAACCTACCACCTTCCACACAGGCTGTGTACACAATCAGTGCAGGTAATTTTGCCCGTGCACTGGCTTGGTTTAGCCAGCAATCTGGCATTGCCTGCACAGTGCTTGTACCGGAACATGCCCCAGAGGCTAAGACCTCTGCTATTGAAGAACTTGGAGCAAAGATTGTCCGACTGGAACACAAGGAATGGTGGCAAATTGTGTCTGGAAACAAAACCTATGACCATGCTGAGGGTCTTGGTATTTTTATCCACCCAGTATTTAACAAGTCTGTAATTGCTGGTAAGTTAATTAACTATCTCTTCATCTTGGTTTAATTATCCTTTGCCTTCATATGCACACACACACACTATATATATATATATATATATATATATATATATATATATATATATATATATATATATTATGGATGCGTGATGTGTGTTGGAGAGGAATAAAAGGTTTGAATTATCAGGTTTAAAATTGTGTGTGTTCAATAATCTTCCATCCACAACAATTAATACAAGACATATTGTTTCAAAACGTAACAATTGAATTTATTAATGTTTGATATACATGCATGAGGTGAGACAGAGTTGTGTCTCTTAGATTTAGGTAATATTTGTACCTAAGTTCATAAAGTGAAAGTAATTATTAAACTGTAGTTTAGAAGAATAAAGTTTCTTTAGCATGTTTGGAATTGTGTATTGTACAAGTTGGTAAAAAATCAGAAGAGATTTCAGAGTTCGTACTTGCGGGAATGTTGGTAATGGTTTTTAACGTCTGACTGCATTAGTTAAGACAGGAGTTCTTGAAGATTATATCTTGGCAGCAAGGGGAGAGATGAATGAAAAGAAACACAAGGGAGCTTACACGTGTTCTGTTTTATAAGATCGTGTATCACATGGGAGGCTCTGAGCATATTAAGCAGGAAAACAGATTTGTCGCGTGCAGGCGGTTTGATTGGTTGGAACTGACCAATCAGTGAGCTAGATTGAAGGTGATTAACCAATGAATGCTTGTTATATGTTTTTTAGATTATGATGGTGAAAATCACAACAGGAATAGTGCATTTCCTAGCAGGGGTTAACTGGCTTGTTGTGGAAGATTCCACATATATATATATTGTTGTAACCTAGAAAATTGAATGAGGAATAGCCAAAATGGAGGTTGGAAATTAAATGGTAGTCTTTATAACATCAACAAAATGCAATACTTGCCAGCTAGGTAAATCACTGCCAGTAGTGGACTACATGGACAGCACAAAACCCCCATTTTCAATATGGTCCAATGTATTTATGAGATTTGGGACATACCCATTAGTGTTCATATGTACGGTATAAAACAATATATATAAATGTTTCATTAAAGACAAGGTACTGCGATTAAGCTTTTTACTTAATTTTTCTTGTGTTCGAACAAGTGTTTTCTTTTCTGGACACAGTGTGTAGAAATATGTTATCATAGAAGAACACTTTACCACCTCATTGTATAAAAAACCCATTAGCAGACAATTTTTGCCACCTTAACTTTAAGAGTGAATGTCCACATAGATACAAAATAGCAGTGATAAAAAACTTCTTAAAAAGGGCACACTAGAATTCATCCTTGTCTGCTTTTCTTTAAAGAATTCAACAGACACTAGTTAACAATGACTTCCCTAACTATCTTATCAAATTAGACTATTTCTTCCCAAAGTAAATAATAATGATGAACACAGTCAAAAATAATAAATATTTCCTTCAAAATTATTTATCTATTACAAAAAATTTAAAACAGCTAACCTTATCCTCTAAAATAACAACAGAGCAACAGAATCAACAATTGCAATGAGAGCATGACACAAATGATAAAAAACAAAACAGAAAATAGCCAGCAAAATACCTGCACAAATCAAACGCATCTGTAACTGCAGAGCAAAGCATAAATGTTTCTGAAATAGTAATTACTTGCAAAACAGTATACCAAGCCACTGTAAATTCAGAAGATAACAAAGAAAAAATATACATAGGGGAAACTGAAAGATTCTGAAAACAGAGAAACTAACTACCAACTTTTTTAATTCTAATGTAAACTGAACTTATGTCTATCTTTTAGACACTAGTGAAAACCAGGCCTATGTCAACCATTTTTGACTTCAGTATAAACTGCACCTATTTATTAATATATTGTGATTTTTGTCTGATTGGATTTTATTTGACAAGAAGGGTCAGTATTAAAATTAACTAACCTCACCTACCTATCCTTTAATGAGAGAAGTTGTGAAAAAGAAATGCTATCAATATTCTATTCATTTTTACTGTTTTTTATTTTTTATTAGGCAATGGGACAATAGCTTTGGAGGTACTGGAGGACTTGCCTAATGTGTCCTCCATCATTGTACCATATGGTGGAGGAGGTCTGGCTTCTGGGGTAGGCACAGTTGTTGAAAATTTGAAACCCAGTGTAAATGTCATTACGAGTGAATTAGATTCTTCACCACAGGTAAAATCATATGTAATACTCTTGAATGCTTTTTATTATTATTCCATATCTCATGGCATATTGATATCTTATATAGTATAGCACAAGGTTAAGCTATAAGAAATTGGGTCAGATTGTATTATATCAGTTTTCTATGTTAGAAGAGACTGCTTTGAAAATTAAAAGATCCTGACTTGTGTCTGAACACTGATTTCGGCTACCAATGTGAAAATATATAACTCTTTAAGAATGCAAAGAATCAAGTAGTTTAACAAATGCACAAAACTAGATAGCAGACATAAGGCAAGTATGCATCATCTCACTAGACTTATTCAACCCCTACAGCAAAGAGATTCTGAGAGAACTAGAAGTCCTACCAGGATTTATTATTGGAGGACCCATTCTTAACCATATAAGATATGCAGGTGACACAATGTTAATAGGAGACCCAATAAGAAAACTACACTAGGACACAAGAGGCTACTGAGTGTTAGAGAATATGAAAAAAATCAGAGAGAGAAAATAAAATAATAAGAATTAAAAAGACAGAAGATAACTTTTGTGATGTCAACAAACACTTGTTACTTTTGTAATGTCAACGAATACTCATTGTCACTTTTGTAATGCTTTTTGTAGTAGAGACTTTGTAATTGCAGATACAACTATAGTAACGCCATTGAACAATACTGGTGTCAGACGCCTTTGAATAACACTTGCACTATATTACTTACTCTATAAGACTAGCTCGAAAAGTAACCACTGAATATTGAGTGGAATAGTAATCTGTATAGTGATCACTTAGATGCCCCGCTAATTCCCATATATACATTTCCTTTACCATTACTTGATCTATTTATTCAAAATGGGATTGTCTGTGTTTGTTCTCTGGTGATCTCTGTTCAAACTCCAGTGTTGGCAGTGACACTTTATTCCTATATAACAATAACAATTGTCATTGCATTTAAATTTTTGAAGATCAAACTTGACTGGGAAGAGAGTTGCACAAGCAGGAAATACGATACAAAAAACTGTTAGCATATGGTTAGATGTAGCCATTTCAACTGTCAAATGACGAGACCTTGCCGCCAGTCTAGTAATGTACTTAAATTCATAAAGTTTAGGTGCCATTGAGGAAGATTCATCTGAAGAAGGAAATTACTGGAAAGTAGTTGAAACTCACCTGAAGCAAGCGGAATGTATAATGCTCCTCATGATCTTGGTTGATCAAATATATTCCTCGCATATTTGTACGGTTCCTGGAAGAAACGCTCTTGGTCTTTCCTTCGTTTCACTCATCTCTTTCTTAAATTTTCAGCTCTGCTAAGAGCGTTGTGCTTCTCTTTAAGGTCCTGCCAGATTTTAAGCAAACCTTCTTTCTCGTCAAAATTTGCGAAACGGATTTGTCGTTTTAGATTTCTTTTTTTATTTCTCAAATCTTGCATTAACCATTGACGCCTGTTCTTTTTGGGTGGTGGCTTATCATTTTCCTCCTTCACGCCGTAGATTTCCTTACAAACCCTGTAGATTATTAGACTACTTTCGTTCAAACGTTCGTGATATTTCTTTCTTCCCAGCTCTTTACATAATGTCTTGCTAATGATGTTGTCTAGCATACACCATGCTTCCGAGTTCGATGCTGGTGGAAATTTGATTCTTGGCAGTTTGGGTTGCGTCCCATCCTTTGATTCAACAGCTTGGATATCCTCAGCACTGTGGTATGCATCCTGGCATTGGTTTTCCGACGTCTTATCTGTGTTGACAGAGTGCTGAACAGTTACTATAAAAATATTTATAGAAAAGAAACTGAGAATATATGTTATGGCAGTGGGAAAGTGAGTGAAGCAGAGATGCCAGGTCAGGAGCAATAACATTGCAGATACAACTTTGGATTTTATCAAGAATCTCTAAATATATATCAGGAACACCAGACTAGATATGGCAGCAATAGTAAAAGCAAAGATGAATGGCAGACTTATAAATATATAAGATATATTCTGGTGAGAAAAATTGTCTAATACAACATAATGAATCAATTTTCTTAGCTGCAGACTTAGCAATTGATTTGATATACTCTTTCCATTTCATGTTAGCTGAAAAGGTTAATCCAAGAAGACATAATGATTCACTCTCCTGGAGATTAGCATCAATCATGTTGATGGAAGGTAAAAAGGGTCCTCTCAGATGATTCAATGGAAGCAGTTTCATTTTTGAGGCATTAAAATTAACAAGCCACTCCTTGTCCCATTCAACAACTGATTGTAGGTCATTTTTGAGCTCGGCTGTCAGTTTGACTTTATTGAGCCGATTAAACTTACTATTAAGACAAGAATAAATAGTTGTGTTATGAGCAAAGGTACTAATGATATCAGAAAGGTCGTTGATGAACACCAGAATTTATGCAAAGAAGTTTTATGCTGCTTTTGTTTTTATTGCTGTTGTTTTTAAATATCCCATATTGTGACAACAGAAGATTTGCCAAGTTGATTTAAAAAAAAAATTGTTGTTTTAGTTAAACCATTCCACCACACTGCAAATCCTTAAAATAGATATTTAAATTTCTAAACTTGATTTTTTTTCATTATTTACATTATTCGGACTATTGTTCTCATTTTTGTCACCATATTTATCACAACATTTCGGCCGTTGTACACTCTGGCCTTCTTCAGGACACATGGCACAGTGCATAAAGGCGTTAGTTAGATCTAGTGACAGGACCCAAAGAGTGTGAGTTGAATACCCGGTTAAGGCAGTGGAGAACTTAAAAAAAAAAGGGAAATTAACAGGAAATAACTGATAACTGACATCAATCAAACATGGCACGTGGAACTAGAACAGTCTACCTCAATGAGCGAAATAAAGGGTTCAGTTCGAAATTCCAACCACCTGAAGAAGGCCGAAACGTTGTGATAAATATGGCGACAAAGATGAGGACAATAGTCCGAATAATGTAAATAATGTACATAATACCTCATCTCAGAAATATAGACAGACTTTGATTTTTTTTTATTTTTGCTTGCTCCAGTTTCTAGTTCAAACCTTAGGCTCTTTCTCTTGCTAGCAACAATATATTAAGTTCTCTTACAACTGATAGTTAGTCCTTTCTTCCTGCTTTCCTTTAATATCTTGTCTTGGAGTTTCTGCACTTTTTTCTGTGTCTGCCATGTGCATGGTGTTTACCTAAACTTGTTTTTTTTTGTTTTTCTTTGTTTATTATATAATTTTGTTACACTATTATGCATTTGCAATATTTAATTCTTAATATACATATAATTTTGTTTTTTCTAAGATAAGTTGATGTTTACCATTGTTTTATTTTTAAAATAAATGTTTTAGTTTGAGCAAGTTTTTTAACAATGTCTATTTTCCCTTGGAATTTTTATCTTAAGACCATTTAATGCATTGTATTTGTTAAATTACTTATACGCTGATGTGAATAATTCTATATTTATATTTAAAGTGTAATATTTCTTTTTTATGAAAGAGGATGTAATTTTTGAATTTGTAGGAAACACATTTCGCGTTGTAATGTTTGTTTTGTTTATCTCCAACTATTGGTTCAGTATTGTCAATTTCTATCATTTTTATCACAAACTCTTATCGTAATAATAGTAGAAAAGTACTCTCTTTTTATCTTCTTTTTCCCTCTAGGTCTACAGTAGTCTGGCAGCCGGCAAATGTATGCCATGTGACTTTAAGTCGACCTTCTGTGATGGAATTGGTGGATTTGGTTGTCTGTCACAAACCTGGCCCATGGTCAGTAAATTGGTCAAACGTTCCATACTTGTCTCACTTGAAGAAGTGGCTAGTGCTGTCAAGGTTTTGGCTGAAAGAAACCATGTGATTGCCGAGGGTGCAGGGGCTTCTTCAGTTGCTGCAGCACTTTCATCAAAATCCATGTTGTCTGGAGACATTGTATGTGTTGTATCTGGTGGGAACATCGACACTCAGAAAATAATTCAGTGTTTGGAAGGAAAAGTCCCAGCTCAGAAATAGATGATTAAATGACAGTTACTGTGTTTTTTTTTTTATAAATTCTTTAAATCGGAATCTGTTTATGGAAATCATTTTTTTTCTACATAAGTAGTGCATCATACTGAAAAAAAAAATGGAAAAGACAAGCTTCATCCTCTTTTAACAGATCAAAGGTATAAGGGAGTATAAAAAGTCAAGAGAGCAAAGCCTGACTCTTGTGTTTTTCTTTGATTTCTATTCTTCCTGCACTTTTCCTTCCGCTCGGTTTTCTTTTTGTTTTCCTCTAACTTAGTGACCTTCTACTTTTCTTCTCTTTTATCTTTTATCCCTTTTCCCCTGCTTTTCTTTCCATTTTTCTCTAGCTTTTTGACTTTTACATTTCTTCTTTAAAAACTACACATCCTTTTTTTTTCTTTTTCCTCGTTTATTTTTCCAATTCTTGAGTCATGTGAAGATAAACTGGAGGGTAATACATTCTCTTTAAATTAGGGGGAGCTTTTTTGAAATCATGAAGAGAAATCAGTTTACATGAAAGTGCATTGAAAGTGTTTTAATCACTAGACCATCCAGGTTCTAACATTTCATCTTTCTTGCCAGGTCTTGTTTTATTACAATGTGGGACATTTAATAGCAAAATGGAATATGAACAAAAAGAAAAAAAAAAAAAATTAAATCACCTAGACTATATATCCAAAACGTATTTTTTGGCCCTCTCGGCTGGGGCATCAGAATATGCTGACTTCACCTCTGCAGAGGGGTAAGATCCCCCGAAATGAGGGGTGCTGGGTAAGACAATAAACTACATCCAACAGCAAAGCCTCTTAATTGCTGGTGTTCCGAGGTTCACCCTGACCCAAGGTGGTAGCACCTGTTAGGATCCCAGCTATAGGCAAATAGTTGACCTCCAGATAAGGGTCAAAACACTGTGGAGGTGTAAATATAGGTTTTAATACCAGCAATACTTTTTTTTGAGGGAAAAATTTTTTACCAGCAATACATTTTTGAAGAAAGCGTTATTACCAACAATATAGTTTCAAAAGAAAAATTATTATTGGAGATACAATTTTGAAGGAAAATTATTACTAGCAATGCTTTTGTGAAGGAAGATTTATTGCCAGAAATACATTTTTAAAGAAAAATTATTACAAACAAAATATTACCAGCAATAAAAATATTCGGCATTAAATAACCCATTGAGGTTGATATTCCATGAAACGAAACCAAACGAAACCAAAATGCATTTTTTTAAAAAAAAATTACATTTAAATTCTTAGTTTCCCCTCTTCTTCATGCACATGTGTAATCAAATCAACGTGTGGCATTTCTTTAGTCTGATGAAGTTCTAAAGGACGAAACATGTCACATGAAAAATCTTCCACTCTGCCATACGATTGATTTTAAAGTGACATTTTACAGAAATTAAATATATATATATTTTTTTCCAATCCAGTTTCTTCTTTTTCTTAACCAAAGATATGATAAAATATTCAGAAGTTTTGTTCAAATTACCTCAGGCTCTTTATGAATTCAGAAATTTCAGCTGATAATTTTTACTTCCACATTTTTTTTATATACACAACCAAAATTATATGGAGGAATTTCAAAGCAAAATTTGAATGAAGCAGATAACATGAGATTCAGTTCACATGAAATAGAACAGTATATCACTTGTAAGGGATGCGGCACAAAGAAAAAGGTACAAACAAATATATGTGGAGAAAAAAAAATGCACACGAATAGCTTAAAACGTCTTAAGGGAGATTATATGATAATTTTCAATCAGGAGTAATTCCCCTTAGATACAGATTTGGGTGGGGCAGGCATTGTTTTTAAGAATGGTACCAATATTCGAAGAACTTAAAATGATTACTCGGCTACTTATTTTAGTATATCTTTTTACTTACAATTATTGTCACGTGAGGCAAACAAGAGTCAATACATTATTTTAACAAATTAGCCGTAAATTATAAACCGTGCCTTTTTATAACCATCTCTCATTCATACTATTGCCAACTAGATTTTGAAATTGTTCCTACATTTACATAAATAGCCAAGTAATGTGGTTAATTAAAATAATTGCTGTATTATTTGTTGTGTTTAAGAATTTACAGACAGTATCATCATTCACATAGCTTTCCCCTGAATTTTTTAATAAATATTTCAAGTTAATTGTTTAGATGGACTGTTTGTTATAGTACCTAGAGCCTATGAATATCACTGCTTGTATGGCTGCAATACATGTTATGGTGCTATGATTATAATAGGTTACAGGATCTGTGGCATGACAATGTTTTGTGCAAAATTCTGATTGACCGATAAACTTTCAAAAGAACGGACTTATTTCTTTTCAGATTTGATCAAAAATGGCCGTTTTCATGCTTCATTTTCTCTTTTTGCGGCTCTTAGCAGTTTTTCTTTCTTTGATTAGGCTCCTGTTCTGCGTTCTGCCAATCCATTCACACAAACTCCTCAGGTAAATGTTTCACTCCATTTCCTCTTATACTCAATATGCCCTGTGGAGGTTAAGCTTTCCAAGTTGTCCTTCTTCATAATGTGTCCAAGGGAAATCGTGCTTAAACCTAACCCTATGTATCCATGACACTGATTACCCAGAATGCAAAAATAGACCTATCTACTCTGTTCAATTCTTCATAATCTATATATATAAAGTTGTAGCTTCTGTTTGTTTGTTATCAAACTCCTTTTAGGGTTTTGGAGATAGACCCCCTCCATAACCATATATATTCTGAAACTACATTACCCAAGGTACTTGGATAAGTATATTCCATTTTGATTAAAGGGGGTCTGTGGGGGCACAACACTCCTACCCCACCCACTGAAAATGTGTCTCCTTTTGATATAAATTAAGTCTAACTTTGAACAAGGGAATGATTCCTCAGGTACTTGGATAAGTATATTTCATTTTGATCAAAGGAAATTCCGGGGGCGGGGCACAAACCCCTCATTGAAATTATTTTCCTCTTGATTTAAATTAAATTTAAATTTGAACAATGGAATAATTCACATCCAAAATATAGAAGGAGAAAGCCAGAAGATTGAGGTCACATCAGCAAGATCATTAAATAATATTGAAATGCATCATTTTTCTCCACAAATTCTAACAATGATTTAAAATCAATCATCATTTAAAAAAAATGTGACACACAGCAAGGTGTGGGTAATTCAGCTGGTGGGATATAATCACTGCTCCAAATTCATGAATGTATTGTACAGATTCTTTGAGTCTGTTGAATGTCAAAGTGGAAAAATTCTGTATAACACGTTTCATCATCTAGAAGGACTTCATCAGAGTAAAGTAATGTTTATTTTATCAACATTCTCTACTAAGTATTCTAAGAAATAAAACTCAAACCTTCCCAAAACAAAAGCAATGATCTGGAATTAGAATGAAAGCAATGATGGTACCTACCCTGAATCCATCATAAAAAAATCAGATGTGGATTTCGTAAATACTAAACACTTGAAATTGATCTTAGAATAGGCTGTACTAGATGTCCAAATTGCTACAGAACTAAAACATAAACCAGAAAACTTGAGTCAAGTTCTTAAATAGCCACGTTAGAATGAGACTTTCATATAGTTATTATGCATGGCATCAAACTCGTTCAGAAATGTCTAAACTGTGTGCTGTATACAAATGCTTTCTAAGATCAATGGTTAAAAATGGCCTGTGGGCCTTGGCAAAGATCATCCTTCTTTGAACATTGTGGACTGGTTCTACAGAATCTCAAAGAACTGTACTAAATAACAGAAACCAGCAAGAGAAGTTGGGGAAAAAGATGTTTGTATACACTCAATTCTCTCTTTGCAATTATTCTTTTTAGCAAGGGTTTGAAATAACACGGTCCAACAAAAAGAACCGATTATTTTTTTATACCATTTTCTTACTTTAACATGGTTTAAACATCTGTCCTTTTATGACCACTGAATTTATTGCAAATGGCAAGTAAACGATTAAGTAACATTAATCAATTATAACTTACAAAATGCAGAAACTATGTAACATGAATAAGTAACAATTTAACAAAGTAAAATAGAATCCCATTTATTTTTCTGTATAGTGATCCCCCACTCTCCGGTGTGAGTGGGACCTATCACTGTACATACTTCTGGCTAGGTGTAACCACTCCATCAGACGGTGGCAGTCGTTACAACATAGAAAGCCTCCAAGTAGCCTATAGACTTGGAAATCATTTTCTTACAAATGGTAACACTGTTGACCAATCTGTGCACTTCGAACGTGATTTGAAAATGATTATGGAACGTTATGAAGAAGCATATAAAGAAATAAGAAAAACAAAATCATGGCGCCTGATAACTGAATTAGTATTCAAAACAAGTGAAACAAAAGATTCACACGATGTTAATTTTATTCAAGATACACATGAAGATATATCGCCATTAAATATCGTTCTCTTTTTCTTGGGTCTCCAATTTGACTCTCCACTGTCTCTAGCCCAACTCTTGCCCAGGCTAATTCTCTTCTGTCTCTCTCTTCCATCTGCCTCTCCCATCTCTCTCTTCCGTCTGCCTAACTACGCGTTTATATAGAAAAATCCTGCTGGTTACAACTGAACCTTGGCCCTAGTACTTCGCACGTGATTATCACGGGGTTTTTGCTGTTTCAACCAAAATCATGTGAATTCTAAAGGCCCTCCTTGCTTACTCAGCTCTGTTCCAAGTTTTAATCAATAAAAATTATTTCGACTATTTCCATTGTCTGCTAATGACACAGTTCCAATGGCTCCTGCCCTAGATTAGATTTCCCATCAGTAAACGAAATGCTCTGATCAATTTCGCTAGTCCAAATCTACTCCAATTTCACTAAAAAAAATATACGTGTGTGTGTGTGTGTTTCCCAGTCTCCCTCTGTCACATAATATAGTCTCTCCACTTCCTGTCAGCCAAGTACGAGTCACTCTCTGGAGGCAGAAAGGTGTCTATCAGTTGATTGAATGAGAGCAATTTCGTTTTGGAGTTGTTAAAATTAACAAACCATTACTTGTCCCAGTTAACAGCAGATCGTTGGTCATTTTTCATATAAACTACCAATTTGACATCATCAAACTGATCAAGTTTACTATTGACAGGAATAAATAGTTGTGTCATCAGCGTAGATACCGAGTTGAGGACTGATGCCATCAGTAAAGTCATTGATGAAAATTATAAACAACAAAGTTCCAAGGACAGAACCCCAGGGAACGCCAGCATTAGTGCAAAAAGACCAAGAAGAGTACCTGTTCATGCCAACTTTCATTACTCAATTTAAGAAAAGTTGAATCATTTCAAAAATGAATACAGAAATACCATAACATAACCTTGTGAAATGCTTTCGAGATATTAAAAGCAACAACAAGAGATGAACCATTATCCAAAGATTGATAGACTCCTTCAGTGATAATCGTTAATATATCAGCAGTTA